GGGAGTTTGATCGAGGAATGGGGGTGAGGGGAGTCAGGGGAAGGAGTCTGGGCGGGAGTCGGGGAGCATGGAGTAGGGGCGAGTCTGGTAGAGGGCGGTCGGTGTGGTTCAGATTGGGATCGGTGTGGGGAGTAGGGATAGGGATTCAAAATGGGGAGTCGGGGTAGGGGGAATGCTCTGTCTTTTGCCTCCATTGGCATGTTCCCTCGCCTCTGTCTAACCTATCTGAACTTTTCGATCCGTTAGCTTTCTCTCACTGCTCGTATTGGCCTCCTCTCTCCTTGAAACGGCCCATTAAAGGACAAATTACTCGCTTCAACCCTTTCTCTCTCCTATTTGTGGCTGGCTTTTCCTCTCCTCACACCCCCACCTTACTCCCGTTCTCTTCCCGGGCTGGACTTGACGTCGGGATGATGAGGGCCAATGAGAGTGTTACATACTCGTGATTTTATCAACGAGTATGGGGCAGAACCAAAGATCAACCAATATAGGATGAGTATGTATGCAACGGAAGTCTGAGAAACGGACTGACTCACATAGATATCACTCCACACACATACAATCGTGAGATGGTGGGGTCTGAGCCATACATAGACGATGCTCAGCCCCGTACACACATACACAGATGAAGGTGGGAGGAGAGACGAAGGAGGTGGGAGATGTAGGTAGCACCAGATGTCACCGAGATAGAAACCAGTAGGTCACCGATATGGTAATCCACAATGTCATCGAACAAGATCAAAATGTCTAGGACAATAAGTCACCAATGTCGGAGATACAGAGTCCTAATGTAACCGGTGTCCAATCTGTGATGCAGCCGAGTATCATCCCCAACAATCTCCAAGTCTCGAACCCGTTAAGTACCACAGCCTCTTATCACCGAAGTCCAACACTGATCTCTGTCCAACTCGTATAAGTCTCCAATCTGAAGAAGAAGAAGAAGAAGAAGAAGATGATGAAGTCTGAAGAAGGAGAAGAAGAAGAAGAAGAAAAAGGGAGTCGAGGAGGAGAGAGAGAGAGAGGGGACTGGCGACGGGAGGGAGGAAAGAACCCCCTGGCTCCCGATACCTCAGGCGGCTATGGCCGCCGATATACTCCGTCGCCGCTGATGCTGCTCCGCTCGCTGCCGCTGCTGCGCTAATGCTGCTGCCGCTGCTCCTCGTACTCCTGCGCTAAGAATAGCGCTAGCGCTCTGGCGCTAACCATAACGCACCGCGTAGAATGCCAGTGGTTCGATCCCGGACTGAGGCTGGACCGGTACTTTTGTACCGGTGGGGCAGAGGCCGGCCTCTATGCTGCAAGGCCTGGCCGTGCCCTGAACCGTCAAGATCGACGGTTCAGCCCCAACCGGCGGGCGGCAGCCTCAAGAGCGCCGCCAGGCCCAAACGGTAATGTCGTTTGGGCCTGCCCGTAGGGTCTGGTCCAAGATGAGGCCTTTACGGCCTGTCGTACCCCCAAGGTCGGGCCTTTAGGCCCTACTGTGTCCCTCTGGCCTGAAGTCGGGTCCGGTAGGACCCCTGTGGCGTCGAAGATGTAACAGAGAGTGACATATTTGGACTTGCCTCTTTTTTAGGTGCATTGTTGCATTCGGTGGTGTTACCTGCCCTCTTCAGTGTTCCTGTCTGTCGCTATTCAAATGGAGTATTTTTCCCCTTCTCCTTGGTCTTGTCCTTCCTTTCTCCCTTCCTTGAAAGCTTGTTGCCTGGATTGCCCTCTTCTCGGTTCCTTTTCTCCCGCTGTCCCTTCTTCTCTGTCCCCTTTCGTAAAATAACTTTCTCCTTTTCCACACTTTCCCTATTGAGGTCTTCCTCTTCCTTTCTGCCCTCCCTTCTTTTCTCCGTATCCTTCTTTTCCCTGAAGCTTTTCGATTGTTTCCCCGTCGCTTTGGTAGGTCAGCTCGTGCTGTAGGCCTGGTTTCTTGTCTTCTCTCCTTTCCTGTTCCTATAGCTTGCTGTCTTGTTCTTGTCTGACCTGTCTTTGATGATGATTGCCCCAGCTATGGAGGTTTTTTCTTGCCACGCCCGGAGGCGTGGCGTCCTCGCCTGTCTTTCCCGCCAGTAACCGGAGCGCAAGGCTTCAAAAATTCTCGCAATCGGCGCGGCGGGTGACCGTGCACGGTTGAGCCTGGTGGGGTGACGGGAATTTTCGAATGCCGAAGCGTCGAGGTGCGTGTGTTAGCGCTTACCGCTGGCGCTAGCGCAAAAAAAAGATGAACCCTGTGCCCGATGGGAAATGTTACGTCGGGCCCTTCGCAGTTTTTAAGAGTATAGAGAAAACATAATGGCAAATACAAATCAGCTTTCTTTTGGAAAATTTGGAAATGCCATTCTTTGAGCATGCCAAAATCGAGAAGCCAGGTAAACAACAGGCATACCACCACTGATACATTTTGAATAGCCTGTTGAGCCAGAGATCGCCAGTTCGATTCTGCGCGGGGTCGGATCAAAGAGGACTGAACAAAGACATTTTCTAAGCTGTACCACCAGCAATGTGTTCTGAACATTGCCTGTCCCAAGGAAGTTGAAAACAACAATTCTTTTTTTTTCTTTCTTTTTTTAAAAAGCGGGTGTTCCAGACCAGTTAAATTTGCGTTCAATGAACTCCAATCCTTTCCAGATCAGGAAAAATTGCGTTCAACCCTTTCCAGACCTGGAAAAATTGCATTCAATCCAGCGGCCTAAGTCAGTTGGTAAAGCTCGCAAGTGGCATTCAGGAGGTCGTGGGTTCAATCCCCATTGGCCTCATGTTCCTTCCTGGGCATGCTTGGCGCCCGCCACCTAGAGATAGACCACTGGATCTCCCGATCAGCATTGAGCAGAGTCTGCTGATGTTCGTAAGGGAGGGGACCTGAGGGGAGGCACAGCGGTTGGTCCTGTTGGCATGGTCCCTGATGCTACCGGCTGTCCCCTAGCCGATATCACCCACCTGCAGGTCGGGATCAGCCCCTCCATGTTCTCTCGTGAACACGGTTCTGGCTGCTACGGGACTCCCTGTATGCCTACAATTAGGAGTAGTGGTAGGTAGGTAGTGTGAGGTGAAATTGAGAGAAGAATATAGGTTTTTTTTGTCGTTTTTTTTAATTGCGTTCATTAAACTTCATTTAGCATACCAGGATTTAATTTCACCCCCCTTTTTGTCCTTCGGGATATCCGTTAAAATTGGAACGATACAGAGAAGATTAGCATGGCCCCTGCACAAGGATGAATTAAAAAATAAAAATAAAAAAATTCACCCCCCTTGCACATGGGTCATCCGTGCTGATCTTCTCTGTATCATGTCAGAATTAAGTTTTAACAGGTCTTCTGGAGGAGACAGCTGTTTTTTTTTTTTTTTTTTTTTTTTTTTTAACTTTGGGCAGGGACTTGACGTTTGGAGGTGATACGAGCACCCCCCCACCAGGGTAGGGGACAGCTTGTTTTGTCCACTGGGACCAGAACTATAGTCTGGGCAGACGTTGGAAGTGCATGTTCTCTTGAGGTGTCTGTCAGTGCTGAGTGGTTCTGTTGGCTGAGAGTAAAGCACCCAGTCTTTGTTTCTTTGTTAAGGATGTGGAGATTGATTATGGGACTGCATATGCTTGAGGGGAAGAGGTCGGGCACGGACAGGCAAATGTGTGCAGTGTTTTTTCTTTTTTGTTGTGCCCCTTTTTATATGTGGAGGGCTAGAATGAAAACGAATGTGTGCAGTGTATATTCAGCCACACTCCCAAGTCTGATCGGTTTTTTCAATGGCGTGGTGCTGTATGTTTCCTTTCTGTGTCTCTTATGCAGGAGGAGATGCAAAGACACTCATGTTTGTGCAGATTAGCCCTAACGACTACGACGTAGGAGAAACACTTTGTTCACTTAACTTTGCAAGTAGGGTACGCGGGGTTGAGCTGGGACCTGCGCGCAGGCAAACAGATTGTGGAGAGCTTAGCAAGTTCAAACAAATGGTAAATTGAATTCCCTATCCTCCTTGCCGATTGCCAATACGCTCTTATTGCTTCGGTAAAATGCTCAGTGGAGCAGAAGACCATGGGCACGCCCGGCGTGCCCCCTTTGCCACTAGCCCGCGCGGGGGGGGGTTGAAACTTGAAATTGATCCTTCTGGTCCTGGCTCCGTCTCCATTCTGGGGAGCATCAGTCCGGTTCCATTTTGCGGGCTACTGTCTTAACCAGAATAGAACAATATTGCCCTGTCATTATCGCTGCATCTGGACTGAGAAATGCCCCGAATTCAGCTGTAATCACCTGGCATTATATTCGGGTGAAGACGGTAGTTGGGAAGTGAATACAAGAGAGTAACTCACTCAATGCTTCCTTCCATCCAGGCCAAGGGATCCCTTTCCCGCATCGAGTAGTCCGCGGTGGATTGACTGTTAGTCAACCTCTGCCTCTGTGTTCCTCTTAGTTACAGGTACTGTCTTCACCCGAATAGAACGCCCTGTCATTGTGTAGCTGTATTTTGCTTGACTCCCGCTCCAGATGCAGCGATAATGACGGGGCGTTCTATTCGGGTGAAGACGGTAGACCTCGGACTGTGAAATTGACGTGAGTAAACAGAGCTGTAGAAGTACAGGAATTGGACCATGAGTATGAGAGCGCTGATGGGCTTAGCTGTGATCTGGGCAGGTCAATCAGTGGGACGACTCTCTCAGAATCTGATGATGGGGGTGATGTGACCCTTTGTTCGCCCTGTTCCCTGCCATTTTTTTCCACCGAAGTCTGTCGTTGACAATATTGAATATTTGCTATCTTGCCCCTCAGTAGCCAGTCCCTGAAGAAGGCTCTATTCTTAGGACTTAGCTATGATCTGGGCAGGTCAATCAGTGGGATGACTCTCTCAGAATCTGATGGGTGTGATGTGACCCTTTGTTTGCCCTGCTCCCTGGCAATTTTTCCACTGTAGCCTGTCGTTGACAATATTCGCTATCTTGCCCCTCAGTAGCCACTCTGTGAAGAAGGCTCTGTTCTTAGAACTGTTCTGATCTTAAACCGCAAGTACACGGCCCCAGCCTTGCAGAAAGTTTTTGTCGCCACAAGCAAAACTCGGAGGGGCAGTGTGGCGTGGGGCACCGTTGAAAAAAAAAATTGGTGGCCTCCGAAGTGGTACGGGTTTCATGCTGACACATGCGGGCTTATGTGTGGTGTACTGGTGCTTTAGTAGTGCTCCATCTGCACCAGATTTCCATTTCCGCCATCCTGATTAGTGAGGACATCTTTCCTCCTCCGGTGTAACCCATACTTGCAGAACACCGGTGTGGTGCGCCGTGCATGACTGTGCACAGACCACACACATGGGTGCTATTGTCTGGGGAGGGCCTGATGGTGCCCTGTGGCAAGTGCTCCCTTTTGCGGCTGCTGCACTGTTGCAAGTGATCCTTTTTGCTGTTGCTGCCCTGTTGCAAGTGCTCCTTTTTGCTGCTGCTGCCCTGTCGCAAGTAGTCCTTTTCGCTGCTGCTGCCTGTTGCATGTGCTCTCCTTTGTATGTGATGATGTGTGCGTGTGTGTGTGTGTGTGAGAGAGAGAGAGAGAGAGAGAGAGAGAGAGAGAGGCGGTGACAGAGAGCTGTATTCAAGAATGCAACACCCCCTTATGATGACTATACCAGACCTGAAAGATGCTATACATTCTGGAATGATATCTCCCCATCAGAACGTCACAAAAGGGTGCGTGGGAACAAAATGCCCCCTCATGGTGTGACTGTATTCCGTCCTGAGAGCTGCTTTTATACATTTGCAAACAAAGCGCGCCCTCATCAGAATGTCACTGAAGGGCCTGCGAGAACAAAACACCTTGTCGTTACGATTTTATCAGAGGACCTGAAAGACGCTTGTATACATTTGAAAACAACGCATCCTCATCAGTGCATCATTAAAAGGCCCATGAGAACAAAGTGCCCCCTCGCGACGACTGGATATTTTCGCATGACTTATCCTCCGCATCTCCCACCAGTCCATCCCTCCTTCCTGTTCAGCTTCTGCCCTTGTTATCTTCTTCCACCTTTTTTCTTTTTCTTTTTTAACTAAGATATATAATCGACTCATATACATTTTTCACACTACCTACCTGCCGACCATAACTCCTAAGCATACTTGCGGCGCGTAGGTGAAGTGCGCTGTGTAGTACGCTGCGCGGTGCTGTGATGTGTGTATACACGCTGGAGAGAGAGAGAGAGAGAGAGAGAGAGAGAGAGCACAGAGCCCTTTCACATTACTCAGACAACCCCTGCCGGTACTTCAAAAGGTCCCTGCCAAAAATTGGCAAGGGTCCCGTCGGTAGGAGCGGGGTGGTCATTGGATGGGTCGTCACTGGACTTGTAGTAAGGAGGGAGTGGGCCGGCTATATATGGTGTAGCTTCAAATTCAGGTCCGTGTTTCAGCAGTTATGGGTTACTGACTTACTAACTCGGCATGTGATTTTCAGGGATTCACTCCACCACTCACCAAATGTGCAAAACTAGAATGAATCTTCTCCTGGAAACTGGATCCATACAAGCCGCACGTTTTTATTTTCTGCAAGTGCTGATGAGTGGAGCGAGGCCCTTAGGGCCACTGCACGTAAGAAAAGGGTGGGGGGCGGGGGGGAACGAGACAACTACTGGAGTGTTTGTAGCATATTTGCGGCGCACCGGTGCGGTGCGCGATGTGGTGCGGTGCGCCGTGCGGGGTGCGCTCACCCACACCGCATACGCATGTGCGCGGGTGCGCGCAACGGTTGCGCTGTGTGAGAGAGAGAGAGAGAGAGGGAGAGAGAGAGAGATCCGTTTGACCTCAGCACGGGTCTACGACGCATGGTTTTTGCGGCGTGTGCTGATGTAGAAGGTATGCCATCCGAGACTTGGACGAATCTGACCGCAATCACGTCCAGAGCTTAGTAGAAAAAGTCCGAGTGGGAGTATGCCGTGGACTAGACCTTTTCTACTAAGCTCTGGACGTGATTGCGGTCAGATTCGTCCAAGTCTGGCCGTAAGTGCCATCAGATACATTTCTGGAAGTGCTACCGTCAGGCCTCAGGTAAGCACATAACGTATCTCTGGAACCTTTCTTCTTTTTTTTGGGAGAATCTCTGGACAAATGAAATTGAAAGCACATAACGTATCTCTGGAACCTTTCTTCTTCTTTTTTTTGGGAGAATCTCTGGACAAATGAAATTGAATCGTCCGCTTGAACATGCAAAGATACATTGCCATATTTGTCTTGTGTGCATGTCGAGAGCAGTGCAGCGAGGCTGTTGGTGCATAGTCCCGTCGAGGTTCTGACAGGTTGGACGCGCGGAGCTTCGCTCCACCACTCACCACATGATCAAAAGAGAAAACCGAGGGTGATGTATCTTTCCATGTTCTAGCTGAAGATTCATCCTCTTTTCTCACAGTTGGTGCCTCTTCTGACGGATTCGGGCGACAGGTAAGTCATTCTGATTTTCTTCCTTTACGTCCTTTTCTTTTTATTATTAGCAAAAAACTCCAGGAAAAAGGGCTGTCAGTTCCGTTGTTTCCTACTCCAGGAAAGAAGCGAACGTTTTGACTCTTTTGAGAGATCGCGGCCCTCATCATGACTGAATCTGGCCAGCAAGAACCCTACCATACACACAGAGTGTTACACGGACTACAGGTTTTACTAAATTTAAAGCTTTCAGGCCAACACGCGGCCTCCAAAAAAAAATTGGGTGCCCGTTTCTTATTTTACGCGAGCAGGGGGCCGGGTCTTCTAACGCCCCTCGCAACTTTTTTTTCTTTTTTCCCGACCCCCATTTGTAGAGGTGCGTCGCAGGCAGTGCGCGCGCATAGTGCGTGATGCGCGGTGCGGCGCATGTGCGCGGTGCAGCGCATCGCGATGCGCCGCATGTATGGTTTGTAGTAAGTTCGTAACCCATAACTCTTGGAACACAGACCTGAATCCGAATCCAGGATATATTGCTGGCCTGCTCGAGGTCTTCCAGCAGTCCAATGGACATCCTTCCAAATGCACGAAAACCTTGCTAATTACTTGCAGGCAATGCAGGGTACTTATTGGGAAGGAGAACATAAACAATGAGTAGTACGAAGAGGCCCCGAAATATTCTCTTTCTGTGCACTTACCTTTTTTAAAAGGGAGGGACACTTATGGGTACGACGGCCTACCCGTTCTGAATATATATATATATATATATATTTTTCTAGATGTGCTGCATCACGTGCGCACGCACGTGTCCGCATGCGCTGTGCGGCGCACGTGCGCAACTTGCGCGCACGTGATGCGCCACATGTATGCTCCTAAGACCATACAGGGAACACCATGACCAAACCCACCAGGAAAAATAACTATCAGAAGGCCCTTCTAACCCCCAGCAAGGGATGGCAAAACCTGCCAAGACCAACCAGGGTGGGCAAGCCAACTATCTCAGCTGCTGAACACCAAGCACGCTGCAGGCGGCCGTGAGGAATTGAACCTGCGACCATCTTTTATATACCACGGTAGTGTTATCCTGTGGGGTCTGTCTCAGTCTATTTCTCAGCTCAGTAAGAGTATTCTGCTAGTGAAAAATGTCTATCCCTGGCGCGGTATATAAACAACAGTACAGCCTTCTCTAAGCAGAATACTCTTACTAACAGATTGCGTACAGGAACGCGTTATCCACTGCTACTTCTCTCCTTCTGGCTGTCCAATCTCCTCTTTGCGATTTCTCGTGGCCATTTAATAGGATGCTCATTTCTCTCCTGAATGCTTTGGATGTTATCTAACAGATTGCGACGTCCCTGAAGTTCTCATCCCAATTTCTGACATCAAGTCCTGTGGAACAGGTGTTCCTCTGTGTACCTCATAGGTGCTTCACTTGTCAGTTTCGCTTCATGGTACAGAGCTAGGCTACCAGCCGGGCCGCCCGGGTCCCGGGTGGCCAGCCCGTGCAAGGATCACGTAAGGTCCCAGCAAAAAAAAAAAAAAAAAAAAAAAAAAAAAACTTA